ATTCCTTCTATTTTCGATTCCCGCAAACTCGGCACTTCGGAAGGTGAATCTGGGACTGTCAGATACAGAAGTTAATCACTTGGCGATCTCCGCCTTTCTTACCCGCTGACACACGAAAACATCGCGGGTGACTCACGACAACAGAGAGTGGTGCTTATTGTTTTTTCAGAGCTATCTCTTTGAACTCATGCTGCAAATATGCCGCTGAAGCTTAGCTGGTCTCTGATTGACTTGGAGCTTTGAATATTGCTATGCCGGAGAAAATTTATCTCTTGCTTAGAAGTAATGAGTTTAGTGTCTATCAGAAAAGCCATTGCTGAGTTCGGTTGGTCTAGTATGTCTCTTGTACCGCCAGAGCTTTGGGTATAGGAATTTGATATACACAAGTAAAACAATATTTTCTTTAGATCCCGTAAGTTTGGTGGTTATCAGTCAAGTTATCGTGTAGTTAAAGTAGCACTGTTAAACATTCTTGCATCACTAAAATATTGACTTTTCATATGTAGGGGTTTACTAATCTCTTGCTTGGCCTCGGAAAATTTGGTGCCTATCACTATCGCCATCGATGAGATACGATGGTACTTTTGCCATTGCTGCACGCATAGAGCTTTACCATTCGAAATGCAGCTGTTTGTCCACGTTATCTACTGGTTTTATGAGTTTGGTGACTGTCTGCAGAGCCAGCGCTAGGTTTTTTTTAAGTAGTACTGAGATTACATTGATAGTTAAATGCCATTCAAGTGGGTTTTTGGCAATTACTCATCAATGGTATAGAAAGAAACCTATACCAACCCCATTTGTCAAAATAAATCCATAGTTCTTTCGACACTGGCCTACTAAACAGTATCGCAATCTATCCATTGTGCCAGTTTGATAACATTCGGCTATGGGCAAACTGAGTTATGCATAGGTAAGGTTATGAACTCGGGTTTTCCCGCAGCGCTATGCCATTAGTTCGGTCTATAAATAGCTAACAAATGCATTTGCCCATAAATTTTCACCAATGCAGCATATCGAAAACGCTGGCCCAAGCGATAATGCTCGACTTAATTACACATGGGGGTAGGAATGTGACGGAGCGAGAGGGTAGAGGGTGCAGACAGCTGGCAGACGACGCGACTCACAGTGCCACAAATGCACTTAAGTTTTCTTCGCTCAGGGCTCTGCTTTTTCGGGGAGGAAGTCGTGGCATAAGGCACACATCACTGCCAGCGAAAAGAAATATCGAGGGGAGTGCTATGGTACAATATGCGATTGAGCAAGGAACGGTAGCTGAGTACCTTCTCGATATGCTGAACTCAGAATACTAGGGCAATTATCCTACTTAATATTTGTATAATAATGCATCTTGCTGAAATTTCCTTTTTTTTTAAACTATTAAATGTATTTTAAAATTTATTTTCATTTTGGAAATGAGTTGTATGGAAATATAAAAAATTGTGGGTTTTATTTTAACCCATTTCCAATGATATGAAACTGATATGAAACTTATATGAGTCTAGAATATATGATTATTATTGTTATTTATGTTTTATTTATGAAGCAAAATAAAATTATGAAGAGTTTAATAACTGAAAATGTATTCTTTGTTTTATTATTTTTTAAAATAATCGATGCAAAAACGTAATGCTTAGCCAATCCTCGCAGAATTGGTATTGTTTACCCTGTTTCTATATTAACCGAACATCTGCTACAGGTAAATCACAGCAACTGCAACCCCTAGCGAATGCTCACTGTAGGGCAATTGCAGACTAGCTCGCGCCAAAGACTGGCAGCTGCTGCCAAGAATTCGGGGCTCAGTCGCGGGCCTAGTCTCAGAAATCTGAACCAGAATCCTTCGCAGACGCAGACTCATTCGCCGGCTCAGTCAATGCTCATTCAAGTCTGGGGATAATTGCTGCCAAACGAAGTGACATTTCTCCCTGACAATCCTTTGTGCCGCTGCCTGGGATTTGGACTCATTCTTCACCGTCATCTGCAGTCGTAGTGTAGTTGTAGTTGTAGTTGCAGTCATACTTGTACTTACAGTTGTTGTTGCTGTCATGCCGTGCAAATTCAGCCAGCTCGACAAAACAGACTGAAAGACAGACACAATTTATGTTTGTCGAGCGGTGAAAGGAAATAAAACCACACTGAGGAAAGTACGATCTAATTCCATACAATTTGGACCTTTGAAAATATTTTCAGAAAGAGATTTTTGAGTTGATTAAAGAAGGATAAATTTTAAGTTAAGATACCAATTAAAAACGATCTCTAAAAAAAACACTTAAAAATTAATTACCTAAAACACTTAAAAGTTACTTTTTTTTTAAGATTACATTTTTAAGTGTTTTTAAAAAAGAATTAAATCTTTAAAAATATTTAATTTTCTCGAATTTCAGGGGTAATTTTAAGATGGGCAGAAAATACTAATTTAAAGAGATTTGGCGTCATGATAACCGTTTTTTATTATCAAAGTTTCAAAAAGTATTTAATTGCCAAACAATTTAAGAATAGTAATTTAGGTATTTGGAAAATATTTTTTCTGTGCATTTTTGAGACAGCTGTGCCGGCTGAACTGAGTTGAGCTGAGCTGTGAGGCTCGTGCATTTCGTTAACGTGACAAAAATACATTGATTACATTTTTTAGCTGCACTCGACTCGGGATCTGCGTTCTGAGCCCTAGGAACTGGGCGCACGTCCGCACACTTGGCACATTTGTCAGGGCTGCCCCGCCATGTAAACATCTTGCACGTAGGATCCGGGTCCTTGTGCATCCCGGTAACATGGTATACAAAGTACGGAAAACGGAGTCCTCGTGTCGCCCAGGGTCTTTGAACTGACAAATTACATTGACAACGAATGGGGGAAATTCCATTCGTGTGCACTCTGAACTCCTTTTGCCCCCAAAACTGTCTGTTTTTGTGAAGCTCCACACTGAAAAGTTTGGGGGTCAATGTCATGCCAATTCATATCAATAAAAAAGTTAAGCTTAGCTGTCAACAAACATGTAAAATATATAAATGTCAATAAAAATCCAATTCAATTTTAGTTTTAAACTTGCTGAAAGCTTTTACAACTCACACAATTATCAGCCATATTGGAATTTCTAGTCGTTTACATTTTTATAGTGCATAAGAACATTAAAACGACATTTTTTGATGATACAGATTTGTTTCTTTTTGCCAGGAATATCCGAATATGCAATAGACCGTTAAATGTATGTGTTCATACATATGTTAATGTAAAGGTGTCAAAAAATATGTGGCACATGTTAGTGGCTATCCATTGTTCTTCTTTTCATATTTGTTTTTTATTTGTTTTGATTGAGTTAATTCATTATTTAGGGATCCGAACTTCTGTATCAAATTTATATTGGATATCGTATATTGTTTGTTTAAGTGCACATCGTTCATCAGTTGTTTTCGGTTTTAATTTGCTTACTTGGCTTTCTATCCCCTCCATCTATGCTCATCCCAACTGTTTTATCCACTTTCGCAATTTGGAAATTGCTTCAAATTGGCAACGGCAAATACAGCAAACACCTCGTGGGTTGCTCTTAATTATTTTTACCGCCGGTGGGCGATCTCTTAAGTCTTTAATAGTGTTTGCACCAAATGTTCAATTGCTTAATTGCTGTCGATTGCTCATAAATTCAGAGTTACAAAAGCGAATTTGTGCCATATTTCCGTTTAATGGGCCTTGATCGCTCATGAATGGGCGGTATTTACTGGCCCTTTAAAAGTTTAGGTTATCTTATCAGCGCCTTAGAAGTGGACAAACTATCGCAAGTTGACAAACAAATTTCGAAACGGAAATACCGAAGGGTTAAAATGGTTGAATTATTTCTTTAAAGACAGCACCCCTAAGATAGCGTCAAAAAATTGCATTAAATCAGAGAGCTACAATAACAATAGAGCCCAATCAAAAAAAAAAAAAAAAAATCTCAGGCAGCTGCGCATGCGTAGAAAATGAAAGAGAGGGGGAGAGATCGCACCTTTGGAAACGCTACTGAACAGCTGGCCAAAATGAGAGAGAGAGCGGGTGATAAGAAATAGCAACAAAAACATAAACCACCACCAACTACTACAACAACGAACGCGACAAAGCGAACAATGCTCTCCATTATGCGAAGCGTGTGTTCATTATGATTAAATAAACAGAGATGGAGCGAGAGGTAGAGAGAAGGAGGGAGAGAGTACGGAGAAAGGGAGGGGGTGGTAGCCGGCGAGAGAGTAAAATGCACCTCATATAAAAAGTAGCTAGCAAAAAGTAGCTAGTTATGGTATTTCAAACTTCAAGTCATTGTACATACCATTTCTTTATTTTAGAATAAATATGTTAATAATATCCACCAAAACTAACGCAATGCAAAATCCAAATTGCTGATCATGTTTTGGTGGTGAACACGGATAATGTACATATAATAAATTGTTTAAATATCCATTTAATGGTAAACAACAAATAGAGTGTAGAGTGTAAACTGAACAATGAATGCTAGAAAAAAAACTTTAAAAGAAAAAATATTTAATTTAAAATGTATATAATATATTTATTTTAAACTTTTATATTTTTTATTTTCGCCCAACATTCTTTTAGCATAGTATTTTCTCCAAATCTAATTTGAGTTAAATTAAGTAATAAATAATATTGAAATGTGTATATTTGGCTATAAAATAGCCAAGCAGACAGCACAGCCCAACTTACTCACCCAGGTAATATGACTCCGACTCTCTGGCTCACTCGTTCTCCCTCCCTCGGAATCAGAAGTCTATAGCCTCCTCATTTCATTCGATTCCCAGCACTCGAAGAACGCAGACGCAACCGCTGCGATCGTCGCGAGTCATTTCTGTTCGTTATTCGTATTATTCGTTGTCGTATCGTTCGGGTTAGAGTGTTTATTAAGTATCGCCTTGTGTTTACCGTTGTGCAGTGTTAAACTATTTACGCTTTGTCTTGTGGGTACACCACCCCCTTCCACCCACACTGTCAAGTCTGCGGTGACAAAAATAATCAAATGACACGTGCTTGAAATATAAATTTTACTATCTATCAGTGGCGACCAAAATAACAATAACAGAAGCCAAACTTGGGATTACCTCGGCATTGTTTATACAAGAAAACGGTAAGTTTTGGCCACCATAAACCGCATATGGAATGCCATCAAAACAGATAACTGTTTATTGTCCCCTTTGACCCCAATAAGCTTATCAATAAACACAAATATTTAATACGATTCCGCATACGCCCCTTGTAATTACACACGCTTTAACACACACACTATATGTTATTTATTTCCCGCCCATTTATTGAACTCATAACCCAGCTATGCTGCTGCTTTTCTTCCTCATTCTCCACTATATTGTTTTTATTTTTTTATTTTCGAGGACTTCGCTAAGCTCCGTTTTATGACTCAGGACCGTCCCAGAGTCGTCAAACCGCACAATGATTTCTTTTTGCCGTTCGTTGTTTTTTATTTTTGGTGCGGGTTTTCTCTGAATGTTCTTTATAACGTAGATCCCCCAATGAGTCACCCATGAGCTTGGGGTTACCGAGTGGATACATAACTGCGAGAAATATAATTGGGGGAGGCAGTGGGTAAAGGTGACTGATCAGGTTGATGGTGAATGAAATGAGCTTGGGGTGGTGGTGACTAAGCCTTGGCTTTGGATAACAATAATTGGGTTAGGTAAAGGAAACTGGGTGAGATAAGTTGTGCGCAGTGGGTATAGTCATTTATAAGGCGGTTGTGAATGAATTTCAATACATCCTACAGTTGTCATCATAAAACGCTGCCAAGAATTCGTTATTAAAAGCATTGTCATTTAATCGGAATTTCATTTGATATTTAATTGTTTATTTCATTTTTTCAAGAATATATATTTAAATTATTATAACACTTCTCGAAAAAGTTTTTAAAATGTTCAATAAAGCGCTATCTCTTGCGAGAAACAACTCATTTAAATTCTTTTGACTACTATTTATATTTCTAATCTAAAATGCTTTGGATTACCACTAGTCACGCTGGAATTAAAAAAATCTTAGTCCGTCGATTTCAATTTCACCGCAATCAAGCATGACCAGATTTCCCTAATTCCAGTTTACCCAATCCTAATTGTTATAATCAAGGGAACACCGCATAATTGCATTGATCTAGTTCCAGTTTAAGAGCGTTCTGCGGTTTCGGTTCTGCGGCTGGGATGGCTCCATTAGAGTGCTAAACACTGGCCATTACACCGGTCATCAGGAGAGGTGTTATTAAGGCCCGCTCCCCCTGACTTGAGTGTCGAATGAAAACCAGTCCGGAGTCAGAGTCACTCACCTGTTGCCACTCAGAGATCGATATCATTGACAATTGGTGTCGACGGCCACAGCTACAGAAAATAACAACTACGATATGCTGCTACCGTTAGATGGGAAATGCCAATGCAATGATGATTGTCTAATTGAATGGGATCAACGTTTAATTTGGCTTAGTTTATTGAATTTCCATTGAAGAACAATGATGTGAAATGTCAGAGAACGCGGCAAATGGATAATACAGAAGCGATTCGATTGAAATCATTATCCATTTCCCAACTCCTTTTGTTTGTGACGTGTCGGGTTGACATTTGCAACAATGGCAAATACTATTTAACAGTTTATGGCTAGTGGTGAGACTTGAATAAATGCGCGCTTTTAATCCAAAATCATTTCATCTCGTTCATCCATTTTTTTACATAATTAAATGATTGTTCAAAACTGATTTATTATTTAATTGTTTGCCACTCGAACGACAACAATTAATTATGCAATAACAAAAAGATGGGAAATAAATAAATAATAATTTCATTATAATCAATGCAACAGCTGCCAATGAGAAAAACAGGGTGGGGTGAGGTAAACGAATCAGCAATTACAATTTATTACGCTTATTTTGCATTTATTCCATTTTAATTTGTCGTTTAAATGTCAAAACTATTAAAATAATTATGGTCGATGGCGGATTAATCAATGGTCGCTTTGGTTTCGCCTTTTCCAATCGATTTTGATCTGGTAGGGTCTTAAATTTCAAATAATTAAGCCTGGTTACGAAAGAGGGAAATTTACCTACGTCCCCTTCACACACCTGTTTTCCAACTTTCCCCCATCGGCCTCGTGTTCAATTAGTTGGGCTGACCCCATTGAGCCAAGTTCAGTTAACACTTAACCACCCCACATATTAACTTAATTATGATGATTAACATTTGCAGTGTAATTTCTGTTTTTCGTTCGCCGCTCTCAATTTCCCAATGCAATTTCCAATATATATTGCTGGTCATTTCCACTTTTTAAGCTCACCAGAACTTAAATTTATTATTTAACTGGCTTCCCTCTCTCATTCTTGACTTTCTTTTGATTTATTTATTATGAAATGCTTTTGATAACGAACCATTATCATATCTTTAAAGCGATAATGCAAAGAGTTCCGTTGTTTTCTTTATTTTTTTGTTGTGAGTTTGAACTGCATAAATTATGCGCTCCCGCTCGTTTTTGATTTCCAAATTAATTGGCGGATTGTCACACACTTGGGGAATAAATTTAAAAATTCTATTTGGCCCGAAACTTGTTTGTTGACAACTCTATTTGGCATTTGCATATGAATTTTGCCTACCTTTTGTGCTTAATTAGACGGCAAGCCAGCATTTAGATGATTGTCAAAGGCACAACGAACTCACAACAATTTAATTTTCTCAGCCACGACGATCCTTGGGCCGCATTAAATTTACATCAATTTTTACACTATTCAACACACCCAATTAAGCGCAATTTGTGGCCAGGGCATTCGTAATGAGGCGCACTCATCTCAGCTATTTCTCCTCGCGGAACCGGATTGTTAGCTAAACATTTTTTACATTTCGCCTTTGCCTACTAATGAGAGACGTCTATTTGAATTACTCATGGCTGGCCATAAATATCGATTAAGGGGCGGTTTTTCAATCAATTTAAGCGGTGTCTTGAGGGCGGGGTAGTGGTAATGAGACGGACGCCCAACAAAAAAGCGCTGGGTCAAGGGCAGGGGGTGCGGGTCCGGTCCTGAAATTCTTCCTTGGCCGGCTTCGTTTACTAATCCAATTAGAATTATGCCGCCGGCTGGGAAGTCGCCTTTGTAGGTGTTCCTAATTAGATTTTCACTGGTCAGGCGGTTCCCCGTAAAATAAAATTAAATTAATATTTCGTCTACAAATCCAGACATTTTTCTTTTAAAAATAAAACCAAAAAGCTCAGAATTTCTTTTTGTTGTTAGAAAATTATTGTTCTCTTTTTGAGTGAAAATATTGTGGGAAATCATTGTACATCTTTGTTAAAACATAAATAAATTAAAATCTTTTAACAAATTATACTAATATTGTATTCATAGCTAAGAGATTTTCAAACAGTAAGAAATACAATTTTGTAAAGACGATTTCTTCAGTATTCTAGCAGTTTTGATTGTCTTTACTTATGTATTTATTTCCGAAAATTATCGCTTATAAATTATTTAAACCAAAATTGTAGCCTCCAATCTCTCTAATATCCTCTATGTTTTAAGAGAAGCTTTGGCCATTTTCTCTTTTTCATGTGAAGTCTTTCGCTTAGCTCTTAAACTGTATTTTATGATTTTAAAGAAGTTTTATAGCAATTCTTGAAAAATTTGTTATGGCAAGTGTACTTTGTGTATTTACCAACACTAAACTTCATATACTGATCAGCAAAGATAAGCACCTGATGGGAAACTTGGATAAATAGAAGCGAGGACTCAAACCATTGTCAAAGAGGCATTTATATGTTATTACCAAAATTAAACCGTATTAAGCTTATTTATTTATCAATTAACTGGGATTACATTTAATAATTTTACAAAAAATGTAATTAACAAGCTCATCAAAAGCAGCTCTGCGCGGACAACTTATTCACGTTTAGCTGTCATAAAACAATCTGGTAACACTGTGTGTACAAACTAGAGATGAAGTTAGCTCGTGTTTTCTCATGGAACAAGCGTATTACGAGTATATTCAGACCACAAGGCAATCAAAAGTTAAATTGAATAAAACGGCAAAAAATAGAAAAACAACGAAAATTTTGTTTGCAAATACAAAATATTATGTTATGTATAATATTTGTTTCTCCCGTGCTCAATCGTGCCGAAAACAATTATTACCGTGCGTGCCACTGAGCTGAACATTTTCGTGCCGTGCGGTGTCGTGCCTAAAAATTCATGCTCATCTCTAGCACACAGCTGCGCGAACGACTCATCAACCGCAATCGGCCGTTTTCACTTTACTTTCCGGACGTATTTTTATTTTCACCTTGTTTTAAGTTCGCGGAGTGGATAAATAGAAGCGCAAGAAGCGCTGGAAAATCGGTTAATCTTTTCCAGGCGGGCGTGTGTTTAACGGTGATCGCAAATTTGAGTTGGAAAATGCGACAGTGCGGCCGCCTTGAAGTGGAATTTTGTCGATTGCCGTGCGACGACGTCATCGCCAGTCACAAATACACACTCCAACACACTAATAAATAACCAGGTGTGCACAGAGAATTCAAATTCGTTGAAATTATTGTAAATTATGAAAGCAATTTATCAAGCGGAAACTGGAAATCGAAAGAGCTGGAAAAAGGGGGAAGCAAAAGGAAGAAGAACAACAACAACGAAAGAGGGAGAGAGAGAACTCGCCAGATAAACGCGCCTTGATCAACGAATACACAAAGAGAGAAAAAGAGAGAACGGCAAAGGGCAAATAATTATCTATATTTTTGCTGGATATCTTCTGGGTTATTTTAACCTTTGGCTGCCGCATTTCTGTGTAAGTACGCTAATTAATTTACAAATAAAATAGCAAAAACGCTTTAATTGCAAGCTCATACAAAAAATAAAAAACGGTGCCCAAGGCAACAGCAACAACAACAGCCAGCTAACAGCTCTTCGAAGGTTAACAGACTCATAACACAGAGGGTTAAGTAGCAATTTATTAACCCTAGAAGGACATACTTCTTCGATTTCAAGTGTCATTAAAAAACAGATTACATTTTTGTTACCATTTTAAAGCTAATAAACTAACTTAGATTTGCGTATTTTTTTGTTGTTTTTTTGTTTGCCTTATGGATAGTTTTGAAATAAGTGAGGGTTCTAGGGTTAATCAATATTATCTACAGTAGTTTTTATCTAGTAAAGGACGCCCACAAATTCTTGACATTCATTCACTGAATACATTCGCCAAAAAACTTTCCGTTATTAACGTATAATTATTGTTGGTTTTGTTTTTTTATTTGGCCTGCCATGCGTGCGACAAATATTAAAAAAGACATGAGAAAGAGATATATAGGAGATGCCGCCGCCATATCCGCCGAGCGACAATCTAAAAATCTACCAAAATAAACACACACGAGCCAGCTGAATGGCCTCCCTCTGCCCACCACCCACTTTGGCGCCCCCTTTTACGCCCATGACCATGTTTTGGTTCCATTTTCCATTTTTCAAAATATACCACACACACAAATAATTACTTTCCTATAATAATTTTGTGGATTTCGGCCTTAATTGTTTGTGTTTTCAGCAAACGTTTGCCATTCGTTCGTACGCAGAGAGAGATTTCTCTTTTAAAGCTAAATATTTAAGAAGCAATATAATTGTGTGTAGAAAAACTAAAATTTTTATATTATTACTTAACGTTCAGCTAGATTACATTTTACTAGTAATAAAGTATTAAAAAAAGCGCAATTAGTACTGGAGAGATCAAATCCACAATTTTTCTAAGCTTACCTTTTTAAAACTTGGCTAAGTAAAATAAAAATTCAACAGGGAACTTAAAGAAGTAACAAACTCTTTTTTTTTGTCATAAATTACAATTTTGAACGTCAAATTAGTTTTTTCGAGATTTTGTTTTGTTTATTTCTGATTTATAGCTTTATCGGATTGTAAATATTTTTGGAAATAATAAGCTTCGAAGTGCCACTATGATAAAACTGATTATTTGTCCAATAAATAGGTAAACCAAAAAATGAGCGGTCGTAATAGTTCCTTATTTTACTCTCAGTGCAGTTTTACGTTTATTTATGCACTTCAACGTGTCTGCCGGTTATTTAGGATTCCCATATGCAAACAATCCGAATTACGGTTCGTCTGTCTACTTACCTGTTTGGCTGCATTTCGGATTTTCGAGTGATTGCATACGATTTCATGTAATTGCGTGCGATTTTCTACGTACTCCCATGCACTTACAGTTTTAGAGTCCGCAGTTTTGAAGTGACCATGGGCTAATTACTTTACCCGATAAATGCTTGATGTTTGCCTTGTGGCTGTTGTTGTTTTAGCTGTAGCTACTCTTCATTGGGTAAACAAAAGATAGGAAACAATTGCTGGAGCAGGTGCTTGAAAATCTCGAGTTGCTTGCTAGTACATAGTATTACTATGAAATAAATATGTGCAAACGTGACAATTGTTGCCCATGGCTCAATCGTTTACTCACCCACTCAAGCCCGCTTACTCATCCACAAACACACCCGCAATTTTCCATTTATTGAGCTGCAATTAAATGCTTTTTGTACTGTTTGAGAGGCACTGCAATAAGTGGTTTTCTCCTCCGCAGAGAGCAGAAATCGCCGGAAGAAAATGGACACCCGCGTCGAACTGGAGCTGGAGCCCGTTGGCAAGCAGCAGGTGCCGAAGGATCAGCCGGAGGATGAAAGGGAATCGGAGGAAAACCAGCTGGAGCTGGAACGGAAAAGCCTGCTCACGCCGGTTAAGATTAACCTTCCTGCCTCGGGAAGTCCCGCCGTCGAGGACCTGGAGGACACGGCCAGGACGCCGCCACCGATCAGCCTGCAGCCGGGAACATCTCGTCAGCTCTTCAGGGACGCAGCCCTGGCCCATGGCGGTCAGGAGACCACATCCCTGCTGCAGCAGGAGCTGAACAACATAGCCGCCACTCAGACGCCCGCTTCGAAACTGAGGAGTGCCAGCTCCACGCTGGATGCCAGTGTTTCCCGGAACCCCTCCACTACCGGAGGCAAGCAGGAGAAGAAGATCGGCCACCGGAGAGTGGCCGAGGGAGGCGAGGTGACCTACAAGAAGATCCAGTCCAAGCAGATCATGGGCTCCATACAGTTAGGCATCCAGCACACGGTGGGCAGCTTGGCCAGCAAGCCCAAGAGGGATTTGCTGATGAACGACTTCTGGGAAATGGAAACAATAGAGTTTCCCCCGGATGGCTCCTCCATAACACCTGCCCATCACTACAGCGACTTCCGCTTCAAAGTCTACGCACCCATTGCTTTTCGCTACTTCCGCGACCTGTTCGGAATCGCACCAGACGACTTCCTCATGTCCATGTGTGCCTCTCCCCTGGTGGAGCTCTCAAACCCGGGAGCCTCTGGCTCCATATTCTACCTGACGACCGACGACGAGTTCATAATCAAGACGGTGCAGAAGAAGGAGTGCGAGTTCCTGCAGAAGCTGCTACCCGGCTACTACATGAACCTCTCGCAGAATCCCCGAACGCTGCTGCCCAAGTTCTTCGGTCTGTATTGCTTCCACTACAACTCGAAGAACGTGCGGTTGGTGGCCATGAACAACCTGCTGCCCTCGGATATCAAGATGCACTGCAAATACGACCTGAAGGGTTCGTCCTTCCGCCGCAAGGCCTCCAAGGCGGAGCGTCAGAAGGCGAGTCCCACGTTTAAGGACCTCGACTTTGCCGAGCACCATCCGAACGGCATATTCCTGGAGACGGACAAGTACACTGCCCTGATGAACACTATCAAGCGAGACTGCATGGTGCTGGAGAGCTTCCAAATCATGGACTACTCGCTGCTGGTGGGTATCCACAATCTGGACCTGGCCGCCAAGGAGAAGCGCGAGGAGCGGATCCTTAATGCGCGAGCCAAGCTGCAGCGCAAGGAGAGTGCCGCCCAGGGACCCCCGTCGTTGAATCCGGATGACGATGCTCCGGAGGCAGATCAAAATCAGCTCCACGCGGTAGCCTCCTACGCCTCCATTCCGGGAACCTCGGCGGGAGCTGCTTTGAATCGCACTCGCAGTATGAATCGCCAGCGATTGGTGGCTCATTCCACGGCTCTGGAGTCTATTACAGCCGATATGGATGTACCGCTGGAGGAGGACGAGGACGTGCCTGCTGGCGGCATACCGGCTCGTTCCGAAAACGATGAAAGGTTGATCCTTTACATAGGCATAATTGACATTTTGCAGTCGTACCGCCTGGAGAAGAAGCTGGAGCACACGTTCAAGAGCATCCTGTACAACGGTGACACGGTGTCCGTGTGCCGGCCCTCCTTCTACGCCAAGCGCTTTCAGGACGCCATGGGCAAACAGGTGTTTAAGAAGACGCCCACATTTCCACTGAAACATTCCCCCTCCAAGCGCAAGACCTCGACCACCATGCTGCGTTCGCCCGCCTCGCGTCCTCCGCTGTTGAGCACCCCAACTGGTGGCCGCCAGCCGGTCCTGACGCTCTCGGGGATGTCGACACCGCCGCCGGCATTCGATGACATCTCCGAGGAGGACATAACCGCCGCCTCCACCAACACGCTGCAGCAGCAGCAGAGGAGCGGCAGCCAGACGAACAACAACCAGGGCGAGATGGAGGTGGTCACCCGGGGAGGGAGCAGCACGACGGGCGGCAGCGGGGAGCCAAGCAGCACCTATCACACCCAGTACTCCTACGACGGCTCTGGCCGGACGGGCAGTGCCCTGACCAGCGACTACAGCGACGACGAGTCCACGGGCACGGATCTGGGCGGATCCCGGTCGCCGCAGCACCGCATCCACCGGCTGACCAAGACGAGTGTTCAGGTCACGACGGTGGGCTACGTGGAGGAGCCTGACGCGTCGCCGGTGGGTGGAACAGATGTGGTGCACGCGGATGTCAACGGCAAGGCCACCTTGTCGACCACCACCTTGATGACCACCACAAAGACGGCCCACATCCAGGCGCCCAGCTACACGTCCACGCTCGTGCTCAACGATTTGCCGCGATGATTTTCTGAGCTGGATTTGGGGTATCAAGTTTTCCGAGGACGAGGGATTTATATAGCCCATGTGTATATGTGTCTGCAGGGTGAAAGCGCCGTCCAAAAAAAAAATGGAATACTGAAAACGAGCTCGTTTATCTTGATTAAACACACAAAACCAAAAGCGAATACGTATTCGATATTAAAATTTATGTGGCGCCCTTGCTAATTGACTGCCAACCAGACACACCCCCTCACACACACACACACGCACACATAAAGCTAGGGGCTTCCCCGTGCCTATTAAAATTGTAATTATTATTTTGCTTATTTTGGTTGAAATTTGGGTTTCAATGTGTGTGGCCTTAACTGAAGTTTGTTTTAATTTTTAAAATTACTGTGCACAAGAAACGAATAACTACTCAATCGAAATTGGGAAAATGGTTGGAGAAAAGACGAAGTGTAAACTCAAATATTGTCTATATGTGTATGTTGCTGTATTATAAAGTGCGTTTACGTATTCTAAGATGCTCATGTAAATAACGGAACGAGAATAAATATGTCGATATAAATTGGCTGGGTGTCCTTGGGGGGATTCGCAGGCGCTGACACTTATTGGAACTCTGCCTGCGGCTGACCATAAATCACTTAATGATTTTCAATGTTGCTATTAAGTGCCGTTAATTTTTATCGCCTTGCTGCATTGTTAAGCCTTTTTCAGCCAGCCAGCCAGCCAGCCAGCGTCAATTGTGCAATATTTATTGTGCAACCGAAAGGATTTTGACCAGGACTGAGCCCGGGGTTCGCGAATTAAATGGAGGATGGCCTGGCAGAGCTCTCCATTAATTAGCCCGTGTCCTAGGGACAGTGGTTTTAATTTGTGTACCCTGTAATTCGGGATTGCGATGGGGGTATAATGTGTGTGACATGGAGCTTTACAGCGGGATTTTGAAGTGCAATTAATGTTATTTAAATGGGGTACTTAAGCTCAACTATCATACGGAAAAAGACGCCAGTAGTAAGTTGGTTTAAATGCAAGAGAGGGAAACGAGAGAAAGATATTGTTAACATAAACAATAAAGTGATTGCCATTTAGACGCATTAATATTATTTACATATTCACGACCAAATTTATTTAAAACCGATTCAAACATCAATGAATAAAATCAGAGCCTATAGAAACATCTGGTATTGGTATGAGAATCCAATATTCGATACAAAAATATTTATAAAACCATACCGCTCGAAAAAATAATATTATTATAAAATGCGTTAGAAACATTAAAAATTGCATATTAAACTGTGAATGGGCCGCAAATATTTGTTGGTATTTATAGCCGTGCATTTTGTACTAATTGAATATAATTTTAATTAATTGCTTAATGAATTCAATAAATATGTGTGTGGCGAAGTGTGAGTGTTCATATGTGCGAAAGTAGTGGAATAAAAAATGTTTCGTCATTTATTTATTTCAATTTGTTTACTTGAAACCGGCACTTTGTCAATATTTGCTCTGCAGGGGAAAGACCAGTTGACCAAAAGCCATTTGGAGGCTAAAAAAGAGAGAGGTCAGAGTTCACTGGGCGTGCATAACTGCAAAGTAAACTTCCCCACTCATGCATAACGCAAATAGGTGCTAGCTGCCACCTACAAGTGCACTCCACTCCCCTTTCTGAATGGTATATTATGTAATTATGGCGAAAACAAAGTTTAATAAATATGTAAACTGCAAAGTGCAAAAACCACGCAAAATTAAACAAAATAAAACACGAGTTCGGTTTGCGATGTCACACGAAAATTGTTTTGCAGCATAATTAGTTTATTCCATTTGCATAATAGAGCCCCAAAATGTTTTGTTCATGCCGTATGCCCCCCCTCAAAATCATTTGCATTTTCAGTAACATCGGGCAGGTGGCCGCCCCTCTCTATGCCTGTAACTCAACAGATTTGGTCTGTAAAATCTGCATAAATGCCCACAATTTGGGGCATTCACATCAATTATTTAGAAATTATTGCACAGTAATGTATACTGGGCCATATGCCAAATGTCATTTTGATGGCCCATAACTTGAGCCCAAGTTGTGCGCTCCTTAAATTGCAGCAAAGCGAAATTGTGAGTTGGAAAGTCCTGTTTCGACAAGGTCAGGAAGGGAGGGGCAATATATAAATACAAACATACATATACATTTCATTGATTAAAGTAATGATTTGTATCGCTGGGCGGAAATTTAATTTTTTCGTAACGGATATTAAGCCAATGTTCAAGCATGTGTGTGCAGTGCCCCTCCTTCTTTTCGTCCTTGTTTTCGGGGCGGGTGAATGACCCATGAATAACCCGGGGAATTGTACGGGTATTGGCAATGAATCCAGTCCAGCCAAGCGGCAATTGCATTAAATTTAATGAATTTAAGCCTGTTAAACGAATGAGTCCAATTTATTTAAATGATGGACACTACTGATTGCTCGTCTCTGTGTTTCTCCATTCCAGGCATGTCCTTTCAGCGCAGCTACAGCAAGGTCTGGTGGGGCTCGGAGCAGTCGTCCTCCCTGACCAGTGGTGGTTTCTATTCGAGCTTCAACGGCGGCAGCAGCAGCAGCACCAGCTCCAGCTCCAGTAATTTCACCCAGAGGCAGCCCACCTCCCTCGGCCCCCTGGGCAATCTGTCCTGCATCCAGGAGGTGGAGGACGAGCAGAACAGCTCCAAGCTATCCTGGCACAAGCACGATAGCCCCGGCAGTCTGCGCAGTCAGGTGAGCATATCATTGGGGGCTATTCGATACGGAGTCCGAGTTGGGCATTACAATTCTGACCAGAAGTGGGGAACGTAATGAGGTAGATTCATAGCTCAAGTCAGATGAAGATTGCAACTAAATGATTGTAACTTTAAAAGTATTGAATTAAATTTGGCCGAGTTGTTTGTTTATTGTCCATAAAATGTTGTAGTTGTGCAACAAAGTACAATTTAAATACACGGAAATTATTGCTTTAAATCTCTAGACAATTTTACACTCTAATATACTAAAAATATATTTGGGATATAAACAATAAAACCGAATTCTTATTTCCGAACTTAACTTAACTTCCGAAGATTATAACTTTGAGTTAGGGAGGTTATGGAATTGCGATTGTATTAAAAATTACTTATTTTGAGAGCTCAGTCGCTAATGGTCTTGTTTTCTTCGGGTCTTTGCAGGATTCGGGCTTTTCGGACAATGAGGAATCGCATCAGCTGCAAAATCAGCATCTGTTGTCCCCGCAATCCCCGCAATCGGAGAAGCAGCAGTCGCCCACGGCCACGCCCACATCCATACACTCGGTGGCCACGCCCCCGACGGTGGTTCGACGCGTGGGCAACTCCTCGTTCTACTCCCCGCTGATCAGTGTCACGCGGCGCATTTCCTTCACCAGAGGACAGATTACGCCCAAGGCGACGTCCGGAGATGAGGATGCAGTGGATGCGGAGCTGGAGGCCAGCCGCAGTCGCCTTTTCGAGCAGCTTGACAGCATGAAACTGGACGATGAGGCAGCGGCGGAGGAGGAGGACTCACCACCACGTCCGGCCATAAGACGCCGCCGGCGTCTGACGCGAAAAATCAAACCGGAACCGGAAGAGGCCTCGGCCAGTGAGGAGGAAGTGGCGACAGCACCACCACCGCCGTACAATAACGAAACTGTTTACTTGGGCGAGGCACCGCCGCCGTATAACAACGAAACGGTGACCTTTGGAACCACCGAACAGGATGAAACCCTCCAGTTGCAACCTTCTCCCCTGAGAGTTAGGGCCTTGCGATTCACAGCTAGCACCAGTACGCCCAAAAGTGGCTCGAAGATAGCGAAGCGGTCGAAGAAGCACCCGGAACCCGTGGCCCATTGGATGACGGAGCAGCGTTGGGCCGGCGAACCGGAGGTGATGTGCACTTTACAGCACAAATCGATTGCCCAGGAGGCGTACAAGAACTACACGATCACCACCAGTGCAGTTTGCAAGCTGGTCAGGCAACTGCAGCAACAGGCTCTGTCGCTCCAGGGGCACTTCGAGCGCAGCGAGCGGATTCTCGGCGGACTGCAGGCCAGTTCTCTGCCGGAAGCCCTCGCCGGAGCCACCCAACTGCTGTCCCACCTGGACGACTTCACCTGCACGCTGGAGCGTCGGGGAATATTCTTCAACGATGCCAAGATCGAAAGGAGACGCTACGAGCAGCATTTGGAGCAAATCCGAACGGTGAGCAAGGATACCAGGTACTCGCTGGAGCGCCAGCACTACATCAATCTCGAGTCCCTGCTGGATGATGTGCAGCTGCTGAAGAGGCACACCCTGATCACCTTGCGGCTGATCTTCGAGCGCTTGGTTCGTGTTCTGGTGCTCAGCATCGAGCAGAGTCGCTGCGATCTCCTATTGAGGGCTAATATCAATATGGTAGCCACATTGATGAACATTGACTACGACGGGTTTGCCTCCTTATCGGATGCCTTCGTCCAGAACGAGGCAGTAAGAACGCTACTGGTCGTGGTCCTGGATCACAAACAGAGCTCGGTGAGGGCCTTGGCACTCCGGGCTCTGGCCACTCTGTGCTGTGCTCCGCAGGCGATCAATCAGCTGGGCAGTTGTGGCGGCATCGAGATTGTGAGGGACATCCTGCAGGTGGAGTCTGTCGGGGAGAGGGGAGCCATAGAGCGCAGGGAAGCGGTATCCCTTCTGGCCCAGATCACCGCCGCCTGGCATGGACCGGAGCACCGGGTGCCCGGATTGAGGGCCTGCTCGGAGAGCCTGGTGACCGGATTGGCTGCCCTCTTGCAGCCGGACTGCTGCACCCAGACCCTGCTCCTCTGCGCCGCCGCCCTCAACAACCTGAGCCGCATGGAGGCCACGTCGCACTACTCCATCATGTCCAACGAGGCCATCTTCCGACTGATCGACACCCTGGAACACCAAAGCTGCGGCACCAGTGTTTTTCTCTACGTAAGTATAAGACATATGAAATTGCGGATATAGGTGGATGGTTAGAAATGTGCTTTACATTCCAATTCATCACTTAACTTAGTGGGTATAGTCAATATAAAAAAAAAATCACAAATACCCCTTTAAAAATTATTAGTTTATTCAAATAAATTTTTCAACTTTAGTTCAGTTCAATAAATTGTAAATTTAAACACATTGTTGAGGCAAAAAATTGCCCACAGTACTTGACACTTTACATCTCACATATATTTTTTTCTGTCTGAGATACATAGGCGAACCTGACCTTGGGTAGATTTCGCCCGGATCGATTTCCTCCAATTTTTTGCCCAATTTTATTGAAAGCTTCTCGGGCGCTGGCTCGTAAAATTTATTTGTGCATTTGAAAAGCAATTTTTTCTCAATATTGGCCACGATTTTTCATTCCCCAATATACATACACATACACATCCAGACCACTTTGCGTTGCTTATTTTTTGCTCATCAACATTTCCCCCTCTGTTTTATTTCATCCGCACAGGAGCAGATCGTTGGGATGCTGCACAACATGTCGCTGAACAAGAAGTGCCACAGCCACTTGGCCAACGGCATCATCATAAATTTCATCACGTCCGTGTACCAAACGGAATTCTACAAGACCTACGGCTCACGTGCGGAGAGCGATGCCCAGCGCCGCAGCATCAAGACCATCCTGCACACACTCACGCGTCTGGCCAGCGATTCGCCCACCCTCGGAGCAGAGCTCCTGGAGCAGTGGCATCTGCCGGATCTGCTGCGTCAATCCCTGGCCCTCAAGCCCGCCAGTCCGCAGCAGCACTTGGACAGCAGTTATGGCGGCGACATATCCCAGTTGGCGCGACAACTGCTCGGCGTCCACCGGCAGGAACAGCAGCTGCTGGCCACGCCCACTCCGGTTGGATCCTTCTCCAGTGGTCACCAGACGCCCGAGGCCCAGACCCAGACCCAGTCCAATTCCAGTGGCGTCTCCCTCGCCAGTTCCAGCAGCAAAACCAAGGCCAAATCGGCGTCGTCTTCGCTGCTCAAATTCAATTTAACACGTCAGGAGAGTTTCGTCTAGTTTTCACCACCTGAGGGGATGGGGTTCCGGAAAGATGGGGTGTCCCACATCCCCACCAGAGCTACGCAGAGAATAATATATTATATAAAAGTTTAACCAGTCTAACATTGTCAATTTAGTTTTTTCCCCCAATAACCATTTAAATGTAAATCCAAAATATCCCATATTAATACGAATTTCTTTTTTGGATTTACCATCAATTTCATTTTCCAGTAATAATTATTATTATATTAATATATCCTTCAAGTTAAATCCAAGCAAATAATGAGGAAAGCTAACTTATTAACTTCATTATAATTATTTTTCATTGATAAAAAAATAGGAATTTTTCTGATGAAGCGATAAAAGCTTTGATTACTTCAAAAAATTGTATTCCACAACAAATACTTTTGCGATTTGTTCTTGCGATATATACATTTTTAAATTTGTTGCTTTATCAGATCAAATTCCATTTTGATTCCGATTTTGATGACATTTTCGCTCTGTGTGGACACGTTCTCCGGCCGGACACAACCCGGAAACTCAGACGTGCGTCAAGTGTTATTACTTTGTCTAGAATGTTGCGTGACCCGTTTGGACTCGCTCTCCCTCTCGTTTCAACCGGATCCTTGCTGCTGGATGTAAACGAAGTAATTTTTATATTTCCACTCAGGCAAACAAAACAAACGGAGAGGCGGAGCGAGGAGCCAAATAAATAGAAATACAATTTTTGTTTACCTATTTTTCCCGTTGCCGAGGCAACTTTTGGTGTTCTTGTGTGCTTATAACAAGAATGCTCTTAAAGTGCTTTTTCATTCGGAAACCAGATTTGTTTTATATTTTATTCAATGCAAATGCAACTTTTGACATTTTGCATTCTCATTGTATATATTTCCCCAACATATCCTAAATCTAACCCCATACGGCTGGCAATTTAAAAACCAAAAACTCGGAAAATTCCTTAGCAGTAGAAGAGAAGTCCTTTGTGCCAAATGAAATGAGAAAAGAAATGCAAACAATTTATTTGTTTTGTACTTAAAGCAATTGTATTGCATAACATTGTATTATATATGTATTAATGTATTTACGCTTTCCACTAATGTTTGGAGCTATGCATAAGTTTATTATAAGATTATTAAATTGCAATTGCCAACGTTGCAATTTTGTCGCTGAAATAAACCATTGATGTGTTTAAACTAAATATTGTGTTTAATAATCAATTTTTGGAAGTAATTTTAAAGGTTTAAAAGATATTGATATTTTAATTATTTATATTGTGAGACATATTAAAAGCATTTGCAGACTTGGTGTTTACTTTTGAAGAATAGTAAATATTTGAGTTTGTAACTTAATAGGGCGGCCATTAGTCAGGAAAGGTAGGAAGATAAAACTTTAATCCAGGAAGAGAGACCAATAAACAAATTATCTTTAATTAAATCCAAAGCAACTTCTACAAAAACACCAATTGGCTCTGTCTCTTTTAAACATAGCAACCAAGAAAATTACTAAAATCATTATAAGAATTTAATTACAATTTATTTATCTTGTAGCTGTTTTCTTAATTAATTACCAAAATTAAAAACTACACAAGAAGTGGGTTTGGTGTCTATTAGTGCAGCATAATAAGTGACACAGTTGTAAATTACATATGGTTGAAGTCAACGAAATAATTAAAAATGTTTTCTGTGCATAAAAACCGGTAAAACATCCCAGTAATGACCCAAACGCACATATAATACTATAATAACAAGGTATTACTCGAATATTCTGCAAAACTGTGATGTACTCAAAGATGTTATGTTTTCCTCTGACTAGCTTGGTCCATTGTATTCCTTTTGTGCACAGCATTAAATGTGTTTTGTAGCAGTAGAACAAGCTTACTTTGGTCGGACATACTTTTACTGTTATCCTTCGCATGCTTTTCCTCAACTCGCACATTTTCTTTTTCATCTGCCTGTCGACAAAATGAAAATATACAAAAGTAAATACCGTACTGATCACCATTTTGGCGTGCAAATCCACAGACACTGCCTCTTGCACACTTTATCGAACATGGGAAATCGGGGCTTAGAGTGTGTTAGTTGGAGAATGAGGGTGCATGTTGGGCAGTCGAGTGCCAAGAGGCTTTTATATTAAATCTGGGATCCAATGCTTTTTTTAACCAAACTGAACTAAATCAAGTGGTTAGACTAATTAAGGCCGATTTTAAACAATTACGAGAATCGAAACGTGTGTAATGCATTTGATATTTTAGTTACTATATAACTGGTTCCTTTTAAAATATTATTAAATTAACAACATTTACCAGCAATAATTTGAATTATTTGTTTTAAAGACATAGTTGTACATTTTTATTTGTTTCTACCTGATTTATTGATAATTGATTGAATTTGTGTCACGATAGGATATATGTTTAAAGTTTTACAGTTTCACAAATTTTCCGTTTTTATTCCCAAGTTAAAATAATTAGGCTATATTTACGTATCAAAACTATTATGAAAATATAAAAATAATAGTTTGTGTATTTAATCGTTACGAAATAGAAAGTTTTATCTGTGTATCTGTGTCACACAACTGAATCAATTCGAAACGGACTCCTGATTTAAATATCAGCAGAAGCCTTCACTATTCGTAATGGGCAGCTGAAATGTATGCTATGCAATATTCGTTGGATGTCAAAAAGCGTGCTAACTCCATATCCTGTTGAGTCCTGTCCCTTTATCCCCCCATCCATTACGCTCTGTCGATATCCGAATCAGGCATAAACAAGTTCCTTAGAGTAGATTGAAGTTTTATAATGTTGGCATATTTTGCATGGCTGAGCCAGGAATGAGAGAAGATGCTATGCCATTCGTGGATGTGCGAGTATGTGTGCGGGTTCCCATTGAAGTGCGCCAAGTCAGGGGAATCTCGAGTCCTGGCATCGCGTACGTGTGTGTGTTTGTGTGTGTGTTTGTCGGGTTTGTTTGCGGCATGCGGAATGCCCGGCTCTGATCCAAAGTGTTGCGGCATTTGATGCCTTCTCATATCTATGTGTGGCTGGTTGTTTATGTGTGCGAGCGTATTATGACAAGTATGGCTGACATTTGTGAATGAAAAAAGGATCTCATCCAGAGGTGCACACAAGACCTGTGTGAAGAAATGGCTAAGAGCGAAAACTTTTTGTGTGGATATTTTTTGGACGATGGTAGTCAACTTTTATAGTCTCTTGGTTCGGATTTTTTGTTTTTAGAAGTCTTCAAAACTTAAATTAGATTTAGCTGTACACAAAATTTAAGTAAACAATTTTTGTTTTATTCGAAAATGGAGAAATGTGCCCAAATTTCAATTTATTACTTCAAGTACTCAAATATATGTACATTTTATTCTATGGGGAAACAAGTCACATAATTAAAAAAAATATTAAAAGGAGAGAAACTAATTCGTTGGAGATAAATAAAAGCAAATTAAATCAAAGGTTAAGGATTAAGAATTCTTTATTTTAAATTAGTTTCTCTCCTTTTGAATATATTTTTTAATTATGTAACTTGTTTCCCCATAGAATAAGTCCTGTTTCTAAGCCTCACGAGATCATCTCTGGTGTTTAGGAAATCGGGAACGACCCATTGACCTCGGCTCCAGTCCAACGCTCGTTTATCGAGCCCGGCTTATCTATGTGTGTATTTTGTAGGTGAGTAGTGGGGTGTGTGGTGTGAGAATATGTGGGTGGTGGTTGTGGCACAAGCACTGCTTTCATGATTTTTACGGCATTTGTTGCCGGTGCAGGAAGTGCCTTTAGTGATTTCCGCATGTGGCCGCCTCGGCCCTGTTTACACAGCGAGCATATTGCGGTTGACACATTTTGTGCGTTTATGTTTTTGAAATGTGTTCGCTTTTCCCTCTTTTCTTCTCCGTTTTCCTTTTCCCAGTGACTTTAAAGTGCCCAGGCACCAGCAGCCATGCAGGAATAAAAATGCTTCAGACAAATGCCATGAAAAATGCATGGCCGGAGGAAAACCTAGGAAACGGGGGAAAAACACGTGTGGAAAAGGACGGGAAAGCTGGCGTAGTGAAGCGTAAACAAACGATTTCTGACAAAAACTATGAGCTAAATTGTTTGCGGGCAGGCACTCCCTGAAAGTGGGGCGGCGTTGGAGTTGGCGAAGTGGGAACTAGTTCTTGTGTCATAATTAGGGCCTTTGCACGTGCTCTGGGCGGCAACGCGGCGATAACAGTTGGCCAAAAACTTTCCTGACTACTATCAACAGCTAAAAGCGTTAAAAGTTGCCAGTTGGGCAAAAGTTGCACCTCCGAAGTGCCGCCGGTGCAACAATGATGGTGCAACAACGGCAATCAGACGGAGAAAACTCCCTTCCAAGTCTCACAACAGTGGCAGCACGACGACTCCAAGTTACCCTGACAGTTTTCGGGTGAGTCTTTCAATTAAAATGACTTGACACTTTAGACTTGTGTTTAATGCTTTTTTAAATTTACTGGAATACAAATTAACTATATATAACTATAACTAATATATAAATATATATTACAGAGATTTATTTTAAGGTGAACACTAATTTAAGATAGCGGCTTATAATTCTGCAATCAGGCAATAAGTTATTTCGCTTGAAAATTGTTTCGTTTAGGCTTGGTTCAGAACATAGCAAATTGTCATGCTTGAAACAAGAAAGAGCTCGTCTTAATTTTTTCATAAACAAATACTTAAGTAAAAATCATTTTTATTTAATTATTTTTTTTAGCTTTGAAAGCTTAATAGCTTATACTATTGGTTCGTTTAATTTGTTTTTTTAACAAATACGGTTTTACCATTTGCTTAGTTTAAATATTTTTTTTCCGGCTTTCACTAAAATGCATTTGTGAGTAAGAAATACTTGAAGTGGAAAAAGGGGCTTTAGCTTCACTGAAATGATGCTGACTCAGAGGGGCATGCCCTATCTGGTAGATAATAAGGCGTGGGATAAGTTTTTACGGGCACTCCACTTACGGGCTGTAGTTACCATAGGCACTTACTCGAACATCCCCTCCTTGAACCCCCATGCTGAAGCCAAGGACATGCAGGATGTGAGAACTGCACTTAAACGCAACTCCTGCAATGTTTTCCTTACACTCTCTTCATTTTTTTGTGAACCAGCAGCTTATCAGACTTTTGCCGCCGGGCCATGCAAACAGCCATACACTCCCACACACACACACACACTCCTTTACTTAAACCAAAAAAACACCACGCACACATGTGAGCTTTTCTCAGGCTTCAGGGACTCCAGTGCAATTAGGATAAAGCGCGATGGGCGAGTTTGAGTGCTGGGCTTTGAGCTCCATTTTGATGTGGCCATAAACGAGTTGTCATTATTAATGCTGCCACGCCCACCGCCCTCGCCACTGAGACGCCCCACACCCTTCACCCCTTTACCCCCACCCACCTTGCAATAAACCAAAGCATTATTAACTGCCCGCAAAAAGCGGAGAATGGATTGCGTATACGCAGCGTGTCCCACGAGTGAGAACTTTTGCCGCAGGCTGGCAGTCCAAATCCTCCGGCATTATCATGCGATTATTAGCCAATATTTTATTTCGCACCATTTCTTACACCATTTCAGGGCACACACACATAAGCATACACATTACTTTGGCTCCACTCGGGGCAGAGCCATAAATTTTTATTTGTTGCAGCAAAGGGTTGTAAAGCGTCGCCATTATGTTTGCTATTTTTTGGGTTCGACTCGTCCTGGATGTTTTTTTTTCGGATTTTTACCCGCACAGACGTGCACAAGATGCGTCAAAAATCGGAGGGCGGAGGTTTTGGGCTGGGCGTGGCAGCTGAATTTATGGCCGCAAATTGATTGTAAGTGCATAACGAAAACTGGAGAATCTCCGACTGTTTCCGTTTGATTCCTGTTCGAGTGCTGGCCGAAATGCGAGTGCGGGTATTTCGCCGGCATTGTTTCACATCGAAAGACAGCAGTTAGCAGGGTGCGCTTGTTAAGGGCTGAGCACCCTTGGCTCGGCCACAAAAACAATCAAAACTGTTGACCGCAATTCGCAGCAATTGGTTTTGCCATTCATTTTGTCAGTTTTTAGCTTTGCGGTTAAGTGACGACAGTGCGGGGGAGTTATGTTTGCCACAGTTTGGCAGAGATATGAAACAAGACAGGCAAACAGCTTCATTGTAGCTCAACTCAACTGTTTATTGTTGTCTTTTTCTGC